TTGCAGCGGTCATTCGCGAGTCTCATGTACTAACTCTGGTACCAAAACATTTTAGACCATCTTCGGAATCCATTATATGTGGGAACTGTTCAGAAGAAGACCTCTGGACCAACATTATTGGATTATTGTTTATTCGCTGACCTGGGCCAACGACGGACTATTTTAAAGCGAACAATTGTTAGTGAGTCTGTTCCATCTTACCTCTTTATTTTTGTATACCCAACCTAGCATTATTATTTTTATTTCTTTGCCACACACTCCCGGTACACTGACTTATTAGGTAGCCAGACCACTATAAATTTGATGAGCCCGAGTATTTATAGATATTTTTGAAAGCTTTTTATTTCCAGTCGTCGTAATTTCGTTTCTTTTGTCCGGTAATTATGGAGGCGGATTCAGCTGATTTAATCGAGAATGCTATTAGCATACGTTTACCAGACTACAATCCACCCAAACCCAGGGTATGGTTTAACCAGGTGGAGACCGTTTTTGCTACCCGACACATCCCTTCCCAAGTCACCCGGTTTTCCTATGTTGTCCAGCATCTTCCTTGTGATGTAGCAACAGAAGTTGAAGATCTGTTGTAAGACATTCCTAAGGAAAATCCGTATGACGCCCTTCGAGCGGCCGTTACAAGTAGGACAGACAAATCAGAAAATAAAATGCTACGAGATATATTCACCACTGTCGAACTTGGGGACAGATCGCCATCACAAATGCTCCGCCACATGCGCAGTCTCCTCTAACTGCTCCAAGCAGTGGTCATCAACGAAAGCGCTGATGACGTGGGACGTGGAGGGTGGAAGAGTGTCGATCCATAGTTGGGCCATGATTTCCGCCGCTAGCTTACGGCCGCAGAGGAGACTGCGCATGTGGCGGAGCATTTGTGATGGCGATCTGTCCCCAAGTTCGACAGTGGTGAATATATCTCGTAGCATTTTATTTTCTGATTTGTCTGTCCTACTTGTAACGGCCGCTCGAAGGGCGTCATACGGATTTTCCTTAGGAATGTCTTACAACAGATCTTCAACTTCTGTTGCTACATCACAAGGAAGATGCTGGACAACATAGGAAAACCGGGTGACTTGGGAAGGGATGTGTCGGGTAGCAAAAACGGTCTCCACCTGGTTAAACCATACCCTGGGTTTGGGTGGATTGTAGTCTGGTAAACGTATGCTAATAGCATTCTCGATTAAATCAGCTGAATCCGCCTCCATAATTACCGGACAAAAGAAACGAAATTACGACGACTGGAAATAAAAAGCTTTCAAAAATATCTATAAATACTCGGGCTCATCAAATTTATAGTGGTCTGGCTACCTAATAAGTCAGTGTACCGGGAGTGTGTGGCAAAGAAATAAAAATAATAATGCTAGGTTGGGTATACAAAAATAAAGAGGTAAGATGGAACAGACTCACTAACAATTGTTCGCTTTAAAATAGTCCGTCGTTGGCCCAGGTCATCGAATAGTCCGTCGTTGGCCCAGGTCAGCGAATAAACAATAATCCAATTATGTTGGTCCAGAGGTCTTCTTCTGAACAGTTCCCACATATAATAGATTCCGAAGATGGTCTAAAATGTTTTGGTACCAGAGTTAGTACATGAGACTCGCGAATGACCGCTGCAAGCGCGAGCGAAATCAGAAGAGAGGGTCGAAGCACGTGACCACTCTTGTATTCTGTGAAATTGTACAAGTGAGCGTTTTCGTAGTTATTCGTATTCAAACAAAAAATGATTATGCAATTGATGAAATACGTAGTGTTATAATGGAAGTAAAATAAGGGTACAAAACTCCACAAGCATAAGAGTACTGGGCCTCCTTTTATTCCCGGTACGCACAAGGATGCCTCTCCGTAGTAATCAATGCATCATTCTTCGTTTTTTATTCCATCAAAATTTTGCCTTTGTCGAACACTGCCTCTGTGTTAAGACCTGTCTACCTAAGTGCTCTTAATTCCCAAAGTTCAACCAAATACGGTTAAAAACTGTAACTCTTCCTGTTATATATCCATGTTTGAAGCAGCATGACCTCGCATGGTACTCAGAAGTAACAGTAGCAGTGGTTGAACACCTGTTTGTGTGCGGAGTTTTTACGAGGCGATCAAAAGATTATGTTCTTGATTCGGGCAAACCCATACACGCCTAGTTCACCCCATCCTAATCCCCTATGAAAAGAGCAGACTAATCCACAACGCCGAGTGCGCAAAATCCTGTAGAGAAGCATGCGGGCGCTCCGAGAATTCATAATTAGGTTAGATAGTACACAGATTTCCACCGCTTGTTCAGCACTAGCGCCCTATTGGTGGATAGCTGACATACTGCTCGAAGGAAGCACAGTGGCTGAGATACCACCAGGTTGCTTAAGTCTGGATTGGAGCAGCCGAGGTGGGTTCGTGCCCCAACCATTGGATTATCTCAAGCTCTAATTCGTCGAAACTTACCCAACCGCCCAATTGAATAGATTTATCCACCACAACTGGCCGGTCTGCAAGCATGAATGTGAATTAAATCCAACATGGTCTAGTGGCGGCAACTAAAACTTTGCAGTTGTGAGCCACATGCGAAACTGTGCGGCAAGGAGGGTTTCACCCCTCAGCAACGCGCAGGTTCATTAACTGAAACTACCAGCCCATCCTTTGAGTGGGTTGTGGAGCTCAACAACTTCTCACTCCTGTTATGTCGCGCCTAGTTGGCAATTGACGGGTTGGTGTGCCGATTTAAAGTGGTGATGGTTCAGCTTTACGAACTGAAGCCGTTTGGATAATATGCAGAGGCCACACGACTTATCGCGTCGTCAGTTGCGTTATAAGGTACATGAGGTCAAGCAATAAAATGGCTGCCTGTGAAGACGACACTGGCTTCTGTGTAATAGCAACTCCAATGTCGAAACGCATTCGAAAAAACGAGATGACAGCGTGNGCCTTCCAATTTTATCAAAAGACCGTTGGATGCGTACTCCATTTAGAGCACGCGTTGTTTCAGGCTTCTCGGCTGATCAAGGGACAGCTTCTTGTTCGCCATGTTCAGTCCAACCTCAAACCAGATAATTAAACTAAGAGAATACAAGCAGGAAGATTAAGCGAATGTGCAACCGACCATGACCACAAAACTCAGGAATCGAAGAACACCGACTGAAATAAGGCTCACATGCTCATCAGTGTTGCTAAGTGATATCAGGGGGCTGTTACCACGAGAAGTTCTGTAGGCATCTTCATATATTCTCGACACGACGGCACCAGGGTTTGTCGGACGGTTTCACGTCCTTACGTGAACCTCTTTAGAGAAACCTCGTGCTGCTACCTGACTTACATCTGCTAAGCTTACTCTATACTTCTTGCAATCAAGCATCCGAATTACCGCATATTCCCTTTGTTTTTTGCAATCTTATGGCAGGATATCAAGCGATTCGGGCCGCTAATAGCAAATGTTGGACCGCATACATTCGAGTAACACAGAGTTGAACTTGGGCAACTAGCTGGGCTTTGATGGCTTGGTGTCATAACGCGTTCAAGCCATACTTACCGTCCAGGAGTATCTGTGTCATAACCCGTGCGACTGTTTGACACGCCGATCGTTTACCATTCTGAATGGATGGGAATGATGCTGTTTTCGCAGACCAGAGAGCAACCCCAGTAAATAAGAGACGGTGCATTAACGCATGGGCGAGGGACAGAGCTTGGTGAAAGGAAAAGTTCTCCACGTGTAATAACGGTATTTTTCCCAACTCAGTTCTTGGTATGAAGCTTCCAAACTAGCGTTCCCGTCAAAATAAACACCACAGGTGCAAATGGCGTGCTAACGCACAAAACCAGGTTAGTCCGTCGTTTATAGTGTGCAGCGACAACATTCTGGAAATTCTGACGCCTTCTGGACGCCACAGTCAGAAGACACAGGACCATGATTGGCTGATGGGTTCAAACTTTCGGCCAATAAGGGGCCACCTCGGCGCTCGACCGGAAAGCAGCCTCACCTTTTGGTCAATCGCGTGCGGCACAGGCCTCTTCGCCGTAAGAGCAACCACCTGCGAGCGGTATTCCGCGTAATATCACGTCGGATTGTCGACGACTGCTGGTAGCCGCCAGTGTACACCAAGTAATTCACCAATATAAATATCAGAAATCTCGTGCGCACTAATAACGAACACTGTTCTTTCTCAGCCCTGTTTTCAGCGAGTTCTGAATTTGGCTACCTCTGCTACTTGTCGCCTACTGATGTTCCGTGTTTTACCGTAGAAAATGATTATTACTCGGGGTTATGCGACAATTTTTCGAGCGCACAAGTAGAGTTGATCCTAGACTATCTCTAGCTATCCACACGTGCACTGCATAAAATCTGATGAGGTTACGCATCCAGGTAAGTTGGACAGTATTCGTATAATCGCCGGTGTTTTGGTGACAGATTCTACTGACAATCGAATGAGCACTTGGGAAGTGAAATAATATGTGGCTCCAACCGAACGCGTACCCATCTATCAGTTGTCACCGTTGAAGTACGCCGCTGAATTCCGTTGAATGTAGCCGGAAGTGAACAAAGTAATGAGTGGCATTACGACTGCATCTAAGTACGTCTGCTGAAAGAAGCATGCTCCATCAGTCCCCATTGCAAATTTTCATAGTCCCAGTTCTTGATGTATCACCAGACCGACGCCCGGTTGTCCAGTCAACTCAGAGCGCTCCGCTCCTCTTTTGGAAATACAGTAGATCAGCTGTTTGGTTTTAACAGTACTGTGTCCGGGAGGAGTAACAGTGAAGCAGCGAGTAGAATTTGATCCCAGATTTTGCTCACTACCATGAATGAGTTAATATTGCTTCCGCAAAAGCGCCTGATATATTTCCCGGAGAAAATTGATCTATACTCGAGCTTGTCTGAGCACAATGCAATGAGTGTGTGCACATACATATCCTGATCAGTTATTTGTACTGCATTCAAATCGACATAGAGCAGACAGTTTAGCCCCGAAAATAGGTGATTGATAATATAAAGGTCTCAGATCACCCTTGTACTAAGTATCACATTACGCTGTTAAAGTACATAAGAATACAAAACACGATGGTTTGAAAATCAAATAAAGTTATTCTATGTACATATTTGTGATAGCTCTTCTGCCACACAATTACCAACTATGGTTAGGACAGTATATCTGCACCCTCTTGTCTTTGGACCAGATTGTAGTATACGCCTCGTTTTGCCATTAGAGCCTGGTGAGTCCCTTCCTGACAAAGCGGAGTGAAAACAGAGGACAACATCAGATGGGCTGATTTAGTGGGCAACAAAAAATAATCAGGTTTTAATGATACGATTCTTGGTTTCCTTCTGCAAGTACAGTAAATTAACGGAAAAGCCTAGAAGTACTCAGTAGACGTACCCGCCCGACTTAGAACCATCGGGACGTTGCGGATTCCACTCCGCAAGCTCCAGATGAGGATTGCAACAGTTCATCAGTTGACTGAGGACAGCTAGTCAGAAGCGTCGCAGTTAGATGTTAGAGATGTTCCCGACTAGAATAAAACGGTGCTCTTCAGCCCTCCAGTGTAGGTTGGTTTCGCTTGCAAGATGGAGTCATTATGTTCGTGGGACCTGCGGCGTTGACGATTCCAAACACATACGAGACAGTGGATCGGTGATTTCCAGGTTTGCAGAATAAATCGACTCCACTTTGAAGATGAAACTGATTATAGTATCATAGTCATTAAACCATAGATAACCTGCTCACAAAGTTACACGAGCCTTCCGTCCGAAAAGTCAACGCGACCACGTGATGTAGGCTGCATGACTTAAGAATGTGTGGCGCTGTCTTGCCTTTGTCCAAGTTAATCACGCTGCTGTCCAACCGCTGTGTTGTCGAACTGTTTAGTTTTCAACTACGAATTGCGAACAACTACGTTGCGAGCTCGAATCACCTTTGAGATTCACGGGATGGGCACTGCTGATAGATCTCACTGGGGATGAACCAATTGTACAGTGTTTCTCAGCTTTTCTGAATACGTTTTCTACGCCCGCAGGATAAAATCTCGGCATGAAAAGGCTCGCTAGCAACATCTTGAACAGTGAGAATACAGTCAAACCTCTCAGCAAGCCTCCGCCAGGGAAGTTCAACAGCAAGCAGTCCCCGCTAGTTTTCTGTAGGATTTCTATCTCTGGACCGGTTGCCTCATACCTGTCTAAGCACTTCCAAACACTTCCGCCAAGCGGTATTTTTCTTCTTCTTCTTCCGCAGGAAAGGCGACGAAACTGGTGACCTTAGCTGGGTGATGAGTGAGAGTTCAGTGGTGAGAAGATACTATTGTTACTCCCGCATTAAGTTTGCCTTCGTATTGCAGCAGACTTCTTACACTCCAGCGTCCTATCCCCAGCTCACCTAGTTGGGTGAGCATTGCTTATCATCTGACAGTGATCTATCACATGTTCTTTATGGATTATTTATCGATTTTATTGAACGACCCCTCCAGTGTTCATGGAGTCAGAGGCGGTCTCTTGAATTCGAGTGAGCTATAGGTAAAGCCCTGTCCGCTAGTAGGCAGCCGAATTCTACTGGAGTCGCTGGTCTCAAAGAATTGAGAAACGTTTGTGTGGCAGAATTCAGTACCGCACAGGTAACCTAGGAGTTATCCGAACCTAAAACGAAAAGCAACACCAAGGTTGCAACCAGTAATCGCTTTCTACGATGGCCATGCGTCACATTACCAAGTACAATTCAGGTCAACGAATAATTCAAACGGGTTCTGTTCGAAATGAAATCCAGAATGGTGATGAATACAGAATAAACTCAGCAAGAATGGATATAAATCCTCGAGATCATTACTAATCAGCTTTTAAAAAAGTAGTTCCCCAAATTTTCGGGGGCACTGCCCCCGAAGAGCATCCAAATAGCTCCTCTTTCCTGGTAATCAAGCTCTGACACTTACCTCAGCTACTTTTCCGTGTGACATTACGATAATCCAGTCTGCACCACGAACTGTGGACAACCGATGTGCAATGACCAAGACGGTGCGACCTGAAAGATGCAGATAAGAACGAACAAGTTGTCCTCTGGTTTTGAGAAGTGTAGAAGAACTAGTGACTGGCGCGCCTAACGGAAATGTCACAAAAGAGGAACGCTGTAGAATTCATTGCGCATCTTGACCCCTTATAAAGATGTGGCTGAAAATGGAGACAAAATGGGGACATATCTATGAATCCAGGCACTTTTGTTCCCCAATTCCTACCCATCTCGAGAAACATTTAGGTGAATATTCATATCCAAGCAAAGTCGATAGATCCCACAGTGAGCTCACATGCACCATGGAACATTGTTTCTAAATGAAGGGAGTCTTGACACTGGACCAAGCGTAACGGTTGATCTAACAACACAGTAACCCTTGACACTACTAGTGTAATGCAAGATGCTTTCGAATACCAACTTATTTATCTTGAAGCACAAACATGGCGGTTACGAGATATNATGCACCATGGAACATTGTTTCTAAATGAAAGGAGTCTTGACACTGGACCAAGCGTAACGGTTGATCTAACAACACAGTAACCCTTGACACTACTAGTGTAATGCAAGATGCTTTCGAATACCAACTTATTTATCTTGAAGCACAAACATGGCGGTTACGAGATATCATCCTCAGATGTACTCTGGGGCCTTATTGGGCATTGTTTGAATACCTGCCAAACAGCCCACGCATTTCCAAATCAACCTTTGATCAGATTTCTGAGCGGCGTTATTAACGGAACTGACCTGCTTCATTCGCAAGTTAACGACATTACACCAGTTCCAGACTGACCTATCAAACTCACGCTCCGTACCGATAACAATAGCAGCAATAACAATAATAATACTACATTCAGGGCAACCTGCCGTGACGTAAGACGTGGTACTGCGACGTTGGGCAGATCGTGAGAACAAATAATAACCAACTAAGGGTGGGCTACCGGTTCCAGTTCTGAGCCATCAGTCTATTACAATTATCACCTTCGGACTTCCTTCAAGGGATTAACGAAATTTAGCCCTGCGGTTGCTGCTCTCATGCGTTTGTGATATCTGACCTTCAGTTTTTCATTTCCAGGGAAGCTCTGTGAGACAATCGCTGATATGGCATTCTTGATACGCAAACGTCGCGTCTTGGTGCTGCAAGAAAGGCCCGATGACACACAACGTTCACGTTAGCTATCGGCAATGGAGCTAACTAGCAACTGGACAAGATACAGCACCACCATCTGTGAATTACACATCACACCCTCATGTGGTGTGGTATGGCCTGGCTTCTAAAGTGACGACTGCAGGTGGTTGGAATTATATCCAATACTGCGGTTTTGTGGGGAAAGGGTCGTGCACATGAACGAACTGCCTTTATGCATGACAGATAGGTAGTCAAAGTTATTGGCTTCATGAACCACGCCATACACTTGTGGGGTCTTAACTTTTTGAAGGACGCTACATAAAACAGACATAAAACACAAGCTCCGGAAAAACTATTGATGCAAAAATATGTGGTCATTATACAACCAAGAACGTACAAAAGAGGTGGGTAGGAAGGGGACTTCCACCCTTTATGAACGAAAACAAAGAAATAGGCTTGAAAATAAACCGATATGCGACAGTTAGTACTTGTGGAAGATATCATTGCCTCAAACCGGACGGGAAAACGGATGGTTGCCTGAATTTTTACACTTTTACCATTCCTGCTAAATCGGAAGAAAATGCATGGCTAGAGAAAGATGGTACGAAGGTAGATAAGTAACAAGAACCCCGAGGAAATGAGATATCGATAACAGTTGAATGCCGAACATGTCAAACACGTCTGAATAAATAATCGAAAAATTGACGGTAAGGAGATAAACCGAATGCCAACTGTATTCAAAATAACTTACCCTTCATAACGGTTTTGAGGGCTCCCTGAACCTGCGCTTCGGACTCGGCATCGAGCGCTGAGGTAGCTTCGTCCAATATAAGAAAAGGGGAATTCTTAAGTATTACACGCGCAATGGCGATTCTCTGACGCTGACCCCCGCTTAAACCAGCAACAGAGTCGGAACCTTGTCCAACTCGAGTTTCATAGCCATTGGGCAGCTGATTCATTATAAAGTCATGAGCGTTGGCCAGGCGGGCAGCCTCTTCCACCTAAGTAAAGGGGAATTTACGTCAAACATTTAGGTATAAAAAATACGAGCATGAATATCCAAGGACTGAGACGCTGGGTCACTTAGGACATGTTTTATAGCATGGCTCGGAGAAACGTAACATTGGTTCGCGCAATTGCGAAAGACCGATCACAGACTCACTTGTCTCTCTAATTCTTCATTAAATCATAGTTGTGAAGAACGATTCAACCTTAACCTGAGAGTCCACCCTATCCAATAGGCCTGTTGAGCCCAAATAGCTCAGTGTTTCAGGCGCCAGTTTACGGGCCGCAAGGTCCGTGTTTCGAATCCAACCTCGACTGCTCCTGTATAGACTTGGAAAGCCTGGTAGTATCCCTGCATCCGTGTTCAATTACGTTGGCATAACAGCTAGGCACCTATAAAGTGCTACATCCGAACGATTTTTGAGTTGATTTGTTGGAGTAATAGTCTCTCCTTGGTACATACAAAGTCGCCGGGCTTTTTCAGAGTCGCAATAGTAACCGCCATCCAACACTTCAGTAAAACTGAGGAAAGTTTAGAATCCAAACAATCCCCAGTGTTCTGCAAAAGACTGAACTGAGAAACGCTGAACCGTACTTGGATTGCTGTTTTAGGAAACGAGATCGTTCACATTGAAGGAGAAAGTTATCAAACAATTAGCAGCCTTGCGATGAGAGTTGCCAGTGACTCAAAGTTACCGATGAACAGCATATGACGCAGGCGAGAATGAGTGTATCTCAATCTCAATCCGCAAATCTACTAAACATGATCTACAAATAAATGAAGTAGAGAAAAGGACAATCTACATGTTTGTCTCTGACCAGCTTCATAAGCATTAGATGTCCTTGGTAGACCTCCAATTTCCTAGTTGTTGCCACTGAGCTGTGGGTCGAAATTTCAAACTAAAAGCTCTGATGAATTTCTGTGTTAACGTGAGAGAGGTCCCCGAAGAAACACACCTACATAGTGCACTCCCATATCATGAGGAACAAGTAGACGAATTCTCCAAAGATAGTAGTCATAATGGTGATAGGCGTCTAAAAAGCCGCCATATTGAACATGGATGCTTGACTCCTACACTACCAGGATTGTGGCAACCTAGTTCGGCAGAAAAAAAGTAAAAACTCAGCATCGTCATCACTAGCGGAGAACACTGGTGCATCACTGCCGTAAACCAAGTCAAATAATCCGAATGAATCCTTAGAGCGGAACGAAAAATGAGATAGGGAGGGGACCTTAGACAAGCCTACCACAAACATCCGAGCTCCCTACACCTCCAACGCTAAGTCAGTCAACCAGCTGGGTTCCATATCTTTCAGTGTCTCCAGCCAAACACAGGGAAGCCCACATGGACTCCATCCTTAATAACGAACAGCACCAACAGCACCTAAGTTTTCCGTACCATCATTCTCTCGTGGCATGTTCGCTTTCGAATCGGTCACGGGGAACAACACCACTCTCGGCAAGCACAGGTAACAAATGACCCAGTCATTTAAGCTCACAGTGTTCGATGCAACTGAGCGAAGTACTGTCTGCTTCAATAAGTACGCGTTGCCTGATCAGGCACCTCATTCCAAATTTCTGGATCCAGATACAGTTGAGTCTTGAAGACATCTCATACCCCCGCCCGAAGTTGCCCCGCAGCCGTACAATACATCTCGCACCGTAGTTTGACATCGCGTCGTTTGAGATCGAGTGATACGACTCTTTGCTACCACAAGTGGCGCAAATCGACAAAACCAATTCTGACCTTTAACATTCGTGTGCTGACTTCGTCTTCCACACTACCGTCAGGACTGATTCAACGTCCGAGATACAGATAGTGTTCCAGAACTTCCAGTGTCACTCCTCGAATTCTTATAAGCAATTTCAAAGACTGTGAGCCTCGTAACATGATTTGTGGGCACGAAGCTCATGACGAAGGACAGGATGACCTTAGTCAGCTGTCTTAGCCATCCTTGCGCTTCTCGCTCTTTTTCAAAGATGAGAACAATGCCGTCTCCGTATTTCCGGTTGACAATATTCATGCTGTTGTTTAGGAGGCCCCTCAGTGTGTGTCTCACCACTTTATCAATGACGAAACCAAACAAAAGTGGAGAGAGTGGACAACCTTATTCGACACCACCATTTGTGGGAAAGTTTTTAGAGAGGTCCTCATACGTGCTCACGCGCCCACAAGTATATGAATACAAACAGCACAGGACAAAGCATCCATGTATAACTTTTATTGCACAAGCTGTTTAGATTCATAAAGTTCGTCTGGTTGCGGAACATCCTATTTGGTTGAAAAGCGAAAGCGACGGTAGAAAAGGTCTGCTCACCTGTTGATCTGTGGCATCAGGCTTTCCAAGGCGAATATTTTCCCGAATAGATGTGTTAAATATCTGTGGTTCTTGACTGATGTAACCAACAAGTTGGCCACGCAAAGAGGAAAGCGAAAAACCCCGTAGGTCATGGCTGCCCAGAGTGACTCGACCTGATGACGGATTGTAGAACCGTTCGATCAGCGAGACCACAGTGGATTTACCTGAAACCCAACGTGAAATGACTGGTAAACACAGTCGACTGAAAGTGCCAATGGGTAATAATTGAGAATGAAGAATGTGAAGGGATACCATGGGGAAAATCTCAAACGTTTTAACAGTTTGGAAAAATGTGTTGCCGTCGAGGAGCTGGCCGTTTCCTGGTCATGTTTCGACTGCCGGTATCAATTTGGCCACCTCTGTCTGTTTTACTAAGGAGCCTGATCTGATCGGCCTAATGCTACACCGAGTAGATAGGCGACTAACTGCTAGCATCTATTTAAGTCGAGACACCAAACTCGATCTCAGGAACGAGAACTTGGAAAACTGATAGCAACTGGGAAAAGCTGTATTGATGTACTTTACAGACTCTTATTGGCAAGCAGCTGATGGTGCTCCTGTAGAAAATAGGGCTGGTAAACGCTCTTACCTCAGTGGCACTCAATGTCTTTGTATGATAATCTAAACTCAAGGGAAACACCCCACAACCACACATGAAATGTCTCCACGTTCCCACAGTGGCTGCTTCCATCTCAAGAGGAAGTATCAAAATAGCACCAGCAAATCATTCACATATCCACCGGCGCGCATTCGAAATCAGTAGACTGGTTGAACGTCTCATCCTTCTCATGAGCGTGATCAAATTCAGTGGAACAGAAGCCGGAAAATGCAACAGTAGCTATTTTTAGAGTAACGGGGTTTAAATTATTTTTCATTGTGCATTCAAGGACAAATTCCCAACTTTATATCCAGTAGTGATATAAAACAACTACTCTCCATGTCTGTTCTAAAAGAAATCGCACTCAATGATAGTTTCCGAACGGTTTCCATCATCCACTGCCTTATCCAGATATGAATATTCCTATCCGACCTTGGACATCTTGCTATCAGCCAGTCACATCACAGCGAGTCAATGAGTCAGACCAATCAGTCGAGTTAACACACAGAAAGCTTGGTTTGAGCAAAACCTCATTATGAAAATGTGCCTCACGATGTTGTTACACGGCAAAGCACATTGAATATTATCATAAATTGCCACCTGGCACGGGTGTACTACTACACTAAGTCGCTAAACAGTGAAACGTACCTGCACCCGACTGTCCGACAAGAGCGACGACATTTCCAGCGGGAATGGACAGGTTGAGTTCGTCCAAAACAACGGCCTCCGGTCGGGTAGGATATGCAAACCGTACGGCGTCAAACTGGAGGTCAGGAGCGTGGCCTGGTTGAGACCACTGCTCGTAGAGTTTGTCTGAGGTAAACGACTGCGTGCGTTGAGGAAGAAGTTCGGTGCGGCTGGAGTCATGCAAAACCTGTCCGGTAAACAATGAAAAACAGAAGGAAGAGTGCAAAGACTGAATTGTGCTATGCGTATCGTTATGCGCGACAAGTTTTCAATGAAATGGCTCGATTAGCTTTTGTTTAAAGGCATACATGCATCATAAGACAGCTGTTTATGCGCGACAAGTTTTCAATGAAATGGCCCGATTAGCTTTTGTTTAAAGGACAGCTGTCGTTCCCTGAACGCACTCGAAGTGTGTTCCTCCACAGATTCGAATTCCAGCGATATTTCCACAGTCTGTCTGCACACTCTACAGACCACTATGGTCGCATCCTCATGGTTAAATGCATAGACCTGTTTTTTCACGTCCAGCTGTGGCACCCTTTTGGTGCCTAGCTGCCATGCCACCAGAAGGGAACACGAAGGCTGGGATCCTGCCAGGTTGCTGAAGCCAGACAGGGGAAAGCGGATAGGCAGAAATCGGGTTTGAAAAACGGACCTTCCGGTCAGTAAATTCGCGCTCTAACCACTTGGTCCATCTCGCATAGACCTGGTTTGCTACAGGCCTATTTTTCCGCTTCGTGGAGTAAACGTGAATAAGCTGGGCAAATCCTTACGGAACAATGGATACGTCTTAGCGGAAACTACAGACTGTGAATCCAGTGAACGTGTGTAGATACATGGCAATGCAGTCATTTGGCTAGGTTTCTATTTACCGACCATGTGCATTTTAACAGCGCGGAAAAAACAGGCCAAGTGACGGCTGTTTTCCCACTCACCTCAGCTGAAGGTCACGTAAAGTACATAGTATGCACAGTAATAAATTACCAATAGAGTTGAAAAACTCAAGCTCATACGCAGAAATTAGCAGTATGTAGTCAGGTATTCACAGACACCCATCCTATGGTGTTGGTCAGTGAAATCCAATGCGCGAAACCCTATGACAGACAGGAGTTTCAAGCCAACCAGAATGGAAAATTTAGCTATATTAGCTAACCGATTTGCGAGTGTCTCAATAACAAACAATTCAGCACCGCAGGGACTTCGGTATTTTGGATCCGTCCGTTTAACTGCTTCTAAAGAGGATCTTCGGTTACTAAAGATGATGGTATCCGATCTGTCAATGATGTCTGCAATGGCAAGGTAAGTACCGCGGACGAAAAAAAAATGGTAAGCTATGATCACGGCTTCTGACGACCACGGCTATCGCGATTTGCGATACGTGAACCAAAGAAGATGCATTTCAGCACCAAATTCACTCTGCCTGTCATTAGTGAGACGTCGAGTAAAACGGTAAATTGAAGGTTACACTGTTACTTCCTGGTTCAAAACTACGGTTATTGAAGACTAGCGGTAAGAGAAGTGTGTTAAGGTGTTCGGGTAGCCATTCAGTGACAGAACAAGGCACTATGCAAGCGAAAGATGGCAGATTTATTGTTGTCTATGCAAGACGGACACAAACAACTCAGAATGATAAGCGATCTGGTGCGGAAGTCCTTTGGCCAGGAACTCACCCCAAAAATCCTATTTAGAGCCGTACTACCACGCAGCACCTGGCTGAACAGCAGGGATAGTTGCGCCATCGAACGCTGAATTGTTTGTGTGGTAACCAAAAAAGCCATGAGTTGTCCGGATTTAAGTTCATCACGGTAGATCAGATGACCACCGACATATAGCACGCCAAGCACAACACCTGATGGTGAAAAGGAGTAGTGTTACACGGTCCTAAGATATAAACAGAAACATTTGGCGTCGGAACTGAGTGCAAAACGAATACGCTAGAGAAGTATAACGGAAAAGTTGCACACACCATATGAGAAATGCACTGTAAGATGAAATTCGTGGCGACACAAATCGGATTACGGCCGAATACAATGTGTCCACTATTTATAACATTTTGTCTATTAGCAAGGCAGACACGAGTACTCGTTCAGTTAGATGGAAAAGAGTTGTCAGTGCAGCGAATCAGTGGGGAAGTCACTAGTTACGAGACAACAGACGCCACGCCATCATAAAAATGAAGTGAGACCTGATGAGTCCGATAAAACTTTTCCTTCGCATGAAACACGAAACACAGTGGCCGCTATAGAAGACCAAATCAGCGGAAAGGCCGAAAAGAACAGGAGTTCATGTGAAAGCTTCTCAAATAGCTGCTACATAGGGATAGCCTCGTATTTAAGGGCAACTCAACTGTAAGCCTACTGGTGGGCAACCAGACACAAGGACAGCTTGCGGACGAAAACGTCGTACCGTCCTGTCATGCTGAAATCGCTTTCAGTAGGAGATATTTTTCTTTCCGATGGAAGATAGGTAAAAGCTTGCGATCTGCAACCATTCACATTTTCATTCAATGAGATGTACAGGATGTACATGAGTGGTAAGAACGAAGCTAGAGAATGCACTAATACTTGACCTTTACATTGTGACTGTTTTGGCCATTAGGAAATTGTTCTCAGAGCTTCATGAGGGATGATGAATAAGGAACCTAGAGAGTGATGAGGACGTATGGAAAATTCATGTCGGTGCTCATATGAACGAAATAGATGGATTCATTGTGAATGGTCTGTCACAGAAAGGATAAACCATTTGGTTACAGCTCAGTCAACTTAAAGGAACAGGTCAAATGTGTGTTTTATTCGGTCATGCTAGCACCGATGTAAGCTGGTTCTAAATACAAGTTTAAATAAACCATTTGGTTACAGCTCAGTCAACTTGAAGGAACAGGTCAAATGTGCGTTTTATTCGGTCATGCTAGCGCCGATGTAAGCTGGTTCTACATACAAGTTTAACTGAGCCAATTTAACAGTACAGCCAACATTTTGAACTGCCACAAGTAGGGCATAGTGTTTTCTCATCTACACAATGTTCATCAAGTGGAGATACCTGTTTGAAAAAACCTGGAATAAGACATCATACTGAAGAAGGCAGTGAGAAATTTAACGGATAGGCATATGACTACGAAGCAATACCGAAGTTGAATGGCCTTGACAAGTTAGATTAATATATCCTGCTCCATGACATACGCTAAGCAGTCGCCCGCAGTATTGGATCAAACAATAGGCATAGACAACAGTAAGTACATTGTTGTGATTATTCACTGTCATCAGTGTGATCAGAGTTGTGCGGCAAACTAGAACGATCCCGGGGCATCCACAGGTGATTGCCTGCAGGAATCTGTCGTAGATCGGACCTAATTCGGGCAAACCTAAATTGCTTGTTACTTACAAGTGTTCTATAGTCGGTCTGAAACGAATTGAGACCTAAAAAAGCTACGAAAAACTCGTTTTCATAAACCTTGTAAGGTCGTACTAGAAAGAAAAGTAGCTATAACGGTTAAGTAACGGAACTTCTACTTTCCCGGTGCAAACGGTAAGTAATGTGGGGCTGTTGAAGTTTTCCTCCATAGATCTATCCACTTCTCTCGTTCTGGGCATTTCGGTCATCATCCTATATATTTAGATCCAAACAGCATGTGCACCCACAATGCTTCCATTGCTATGTCACTCTTTACTAAGATAAACCACTTTGATTTACCGGCTAAACACGGAGTTCGTTGAAGGAATGATAAATTAAATCACCCTGCTGTTATAGACTGGTATGAAGGGATGATGTAAGCGAAGTTCACGAACAAACTGACGATCGCCTCATGTGTAGTAGTGAGGTGAGTAGTACTCACTTCATTTTGATCAGTCTAGCCAAATGAAAGAGATCTCATGAGGAAGTCTCACAAGAAACCGTCAATCACCCGTGCAGTAGTTGTTTCGTTGTTTCCGCCTGAGTATTGTCCAGTAAAGGATGAAATATCAAAAACTCGAACACCATGGAGATTGGGTGAAAATTGTCTATCCGACTTGGTTTAAATGAATGTTTCGTACAGTTGCATAACGTACAAAAATCGAAAACCGCCAAAACCTTTAGCTTTTCCGGAAGGCTACCTTTGGCGGATAGTCCTTACAAAGAACAGTCACCTAGGATATTATGACGTGGTAGACGTGCTGAATGTCTAAATTCAAATAAATTTCCACAAAGAAACACGACCCTGTATTCAACTCACTATGATCTACGGCGCGTTAAGGTTGTACATTGATGAGGTAGCGTGAACTTGGAGAAAACGTCTAATGTTACGACGTGAAGAAACGCCTCATGCGTTGAGGTAAGACTACTTTGCGCAGTCAGAGACACAAGGTAATGGACGAACGTTTTCGGCAAAAATTCTTCTTGTAAAAGTAAGTACCTGCGGGTACTTAATTTCGACACTTAAAATCTGGCTTTCAGCCTTCTGGATAAGATTTTCAGGAGTCTACTATACAGCCAAGTGCATATATTCAAGATGTACTACCACTCGTCTGTGAACCACGGGATTTGTTTTTCACCGACAATCGACGGTTTAGAGTTCGTCTTTGTGATATCGAGCGGAATACGGTGTAGNCGGTGTAGAAAGTGACCACTTTCCACTCGACATTTCCCTCTCGGCATTCAGCTTCCATGGGAAGAACGGGAGTGAAAACATTGAAAAGTTGCTCACGACTCGACGGAAACCATCGATAAGTCAGAGCAGGCCTTGATCTACAAATCCCTCCTGTCAGAGCTAGGCACTCTGAGATGTCGGCTCTCTCTCTCTCTCTCTCTCTCTCTCTCTCTCTCTGATAGGTCATTCTAGAGAGTTTAACTCCTACGTTATAGGTTGAGGGTCAAAATGCTACGTATAAGTCCTGAAAATTATGCTTCTGAAAAAGACCTTGTGGCGAGTTCTGGCTGTTCAACTTCTGATATCCCAATCACCCTGGACTACGTCCAACCTCGAAACCCGTCACAAGGAAAGCTCTTTGAGTGGCATTGGGAGGATTACAAAGTGGACCAATGTATGAATGCAAAGAGTTCAACAAGAGCAAAACATTAAGCTCACCGTTAAGTGTAAGGTTAGATAACCCTTGGAACACGCCGATTCCATAACCTAGTTGTTCGTTCAATGCGCGCGCTTTCTCGGTTTCATTCCGGTAGCGTCTGGAAGCAATTCGCATGAAACGAGGATAAGAGTAGATGAGAGGATACGAAATGTAACGAAGTATGCATCGCTCTTTACGTATGTCGAGAGATTCACAAAGAGTTACGCAGGGACATCCCATCCAAAACGACCAACATAAACTCAAAAAACTCAACTTGAATATGAAAACAAAATGGATTAACTCTGGAAGGGTTTTTTTTCTATGGCCGTACCACTAGTAATATTTTAACTCATCAGAATGATGTACTTGTTGCTACCATCATAACCCTTAGGTAACTCAAATCCGGACCCCCCATGCTCATCTAGTCAAAGTTCCTTATACACTTAGGTGTATAAAAATCACGTATTTCTACTTTGCGTATAACTCACTGGCGATCCGAAGAGATTACCCGAATCGTAAATGTAAGTCACAAAGTGACGTCGACCGGTAGCTGAAACATATGCATTTAAAGGGAGGAGTGAGAGTGGAAGACAGCCAACTTTGCAAGGTGGAGCCTACATTTCATTAATGGGCACTATCTCAAATCGGGGGCGATATGGACCAAGTGGTTAGAGCGCCTGGTTCGAACCCGACCTCTGCCTCTCGACTCCCCCTGGCTAGGCTTGGGTAACCTGGCAGTGTCCCAACTCTCGTGCCTCCATCATGTGGCATGGCAGTTAGGCACCGAAACGGTGCTGCAGCTGGACGATTTTTTTATATCTCCAATCGAATTTAAAAGTAGGAGACATGTTAAACGAAATTCAAAAATGAGCCCTAAGAATGTACACAGGAACCGCGAAAATAGCAAATAACACTGGAAAATCTAAAGGGCGTAAAGAAATTCCGGGGAGATGAACCACAAATGTGAACATCATAAGAATTTGAGATAGACTCTATTGAAAAAGAAATTCGGTGCAATATCACCGAGGAAAATGTAAAGAGTGTTAATGAAACAAGCCTATCTTCAACATCATTGTGAACAGCATAAGACCAGTAGCAGTTACGAAGTTACGAAGCAGTTACGAGTCATACAGTACCACGCAGAGTGTGTTTGGGTCTTTGAGAAAGCGACAGAGTTGCATTTATTCTTCCTTGTGTATGCAGCAGCAAGGTGGTACCGGGATGATGCCATTGAATAACAGCTGGTATGGTAAGAGACTATATTTATCGACGTAAACTATGCTTCCAGGAGACCTAGGAGACTGTTAGGACAACCGAGCCTGAACAAGAGGACAACCAGGATGTTCAACCAAAGCGTCTGGTCCAAACAGCAAAACGCAAGGAAGCAGCGGACGGCATATGAATAACGGTTTAGCGTTAAACGTATACGAAAAGTCGTCACATATACTCCAAACTCATGCTGTAGGATCAGACGAGTTTTCCTTTTTCAACTTCTTGGTTCCAAACCTGAAGGTCATTCGAGTCAGTTGATCTGGTTTGCAACATTCTAGATCTTTTCCAGATGTGCACGCATTTTCAGTTTTTGCTTATTGGTATAGATTAGCTGAAACCAGTCACGGACGGTGGAGCCGAGGATATCAGATGACCGTTTGATCCTGTCAAAGTGGTAGAACGGACAGTTCATTGTTATACCAGACCATCTGCCATCCAAATACTTATAAACAAAGTTGAGACAGCTGCATATGAATGGCTTCTGGGTTGGCTGTTTATGGTAACAGTTCCCGGAGGCGAATCACCAGACATCACATACTGCAATATGAACGGAATCTACAATATTCACCAAGAATGCAGATGGGTTGTTTTTAGTCAGTTAAGAAGTGGGTTGAAGGTTCTTAACGGGGTTTGAACACCTTTCTTTGCGAGTCTTGAATTTCGTCTGTGAACTTGTCAGGTCGTTAGAATCATGCTTTAGAATGATGGGACTTGAAAGATAAAAGCAAGTCTCTCACATGCTTCCGTGCATCACGCTGGACAAGGATACTATGCCACTTCACTTCCCAAAGTGACGCTTAACTGTACTTTGTCATTCAAGTTCTTATCGCAGTGCCGGGAAAGCCGCCTGGAATAACAAAGGTCGCTCGACCCTCCTGTTTCAACGACTGTTGAAGTTAGCCGACGGGCACAGAATGTATTAGCATCAGTGTTGCCGTCAGTGGTGAATCGATCGTAAAGCGTGTTTCAGTGGGCAAGTAGAGCAGGACGTTGGGAAGGCAGTAGTTGACATGCTTAATTACGGTAGACCACATCCAACGACTCACCTTAGCAACGAAGCTAGCTAGGCTGGGTACCAGAGCTCAGTCCTGGAAGGATCAAACAATTTTGCTACTGCACTCACTAATGCATATCTCGCTTTATAACGCATCTGTTGGGCGTACGATAGAAAGTTAACACGAGCAATACATACGGGCAGTATGGTGAGTTAACGAATAACAGCCTGTTGTGAGGAGATCGACTGAAGCATGCGATAGATGCACTGTAGCATACTTCAAGCCCCGTAATTTGAAAGCAAACGTTGTCTGGATTGACAATGTCGCAGACCGCCTTGAGTGTTGGTTAATCAAAGTAGGCGACTAATACATGTTTGTATGTATACATACCAAAGGTGACCAGCTAATGTGTATTTTTGACAGTATTGCAGTTATGTGCTCCAGAAGGAATGACAAAGATGAATGATAGCTCTGGTTGCCCATATTAGGTGGAGAAGAATCGAACTACTACCTTTGAATGATCACGTCGGGGGACAATAGGCGTACACGGACGGCTTCTAGAAGTTAAGCTTGTTCGTCTTGCCTGCAGAAGCGTACGTAATAACACCAAGCCATTCTGGTAATTCGCCAGCTCGCTGTAGGTCTGATTCGCGTCAAACTGACGCAACTGCAGTAAGAATTTCGTATCACAAGCGGCAAGTCACCGAGCAGTTGCGTTCGCATGGTATTCGATGCGAACGAGAGTTCGGTGACCAAGCTTCGTTTCGCAGCTAGTCAATAAGGTAGAAAAATGCGCGTACAGAGTAATCAAATATTACAAACGTGGAATATTGTTCACAGCCTCATCCGATCGTTTGTGCGTTCTCAGTCAAAAACCATTCCAAGATTATTGCTCAATATCGGGTTCCAATAGGTCTGAATGGAAGCCAAAATCCAAACGTACCCGCAATCAGCCACTGCGCATTGACAATTGAGATTGTTTCTTTCATTTAGACAAGTAACACTGTTTAGCAAGAAAAACATCCGCGCAGCCGCAGCGGTGGGGAAAGTTCGAACTTATCGACTGGAACCCCACAGATAGTGGCCTTTACAAATGAACTACCTTCGCTGTTGATTTCCGGTAAGGCGTATGACTGGGAACATAGTAATGAATCTAGGCGCCTGAGTGGGGTCAATTTCAATTCAATTTATCAGCTATAAATCGTGTGCCATAGGCACATTGGTTCTAGCTGCTACAGTTTTGATCACCGGAAAACGGGAAAGCGAAACATACAACCAAGCCTTGGAGGCAAAGGCATGTTCTGTTTGTTTCGAAATCGGGTAGGTACCTATTGAAGGCGATAGCTTTGATGCAAGAATGCCACTGACTGCGCGATTGGGCCATTTCGGCAAACGTCACTAACCACTGGTGATTTGAGTTCCGGGGTCTCCATCCAGGGAGGCGGACGTTGCCTGATAATGCGGTAATGTCTTATGAGATCGACGGCTTATCGGCGGTCATGATGCCTGCGATCGCTAAACTAACTCCTCAGAAAGGGCCGAAAGCAGTTTGAAAACAGTCCTGACCGACCTTTTGAGAGACCTAAATTAAATGAGGGCGACTTTAGGGGCTCCTTACTGCACACACAAAAGACCAGCAAGTATGGTTAAAGCTCCCCCTCCTATACTCGGATTGACTTTTTGGTGAGGCTGGATAAAAAAAGTGTACTGCCAACACATTTAGCATACTTAACTGTACACAAGTGTTGTGGTCCACCGCCAGAAAAGTCACCAAAAACCTATCCAAAAAATTAGTAATCAATCGGCTCCGTTCCAAAGCATCAACCACAACCGTTCAAAAATTGAAAACCATCATGTCGACATCTGAATTCCACAAGACTGGACTCGAACTCGGACGGACAGAATTAAGTTTCAATTTTCATGGCACATAAAAACAAAACACAAAACCAGGCTGATAGTTGCTGCGCGGATCCGGTGTGCTTAACTTCGTGTGTCCATTAAATTTACCAGTAAATCGAAACATGAAAATGAGGCAATAGTCCTGAGTAAGCTTTGGGAAACAGCCAGCTGGTTTATAGCTGCGAAACGGGATGTTTTTCAAAACTTCTAAACAACGATGAATTCTCACTCGATTCCAAGCATTTTCCAACTGATTGAACACGTGAAAATCTTACGCGCTCAATAACACTTGGAGGAAAGTGAATTAGGTGTGTGGACATTGGAATAAGGGTAGTTGACGAAATCGCGAAACTGGTAGGGAAATCGGTTGGTCAATGCTGTGTCAATTTAAGTCACTGAACTTCTAAACAAGAGACGATGTAGCTGATTACAGCTAGCTAACTTACTCAAGTTGCAGTTCTTCTATTGAGAGAGCTTTTACACTACGAATATGCGTAAACGATTCTTCAGCAACTGATGACGCAATCGAGTGCTAAAAGAATGATAAAATTGGAGGAAATAGAGGTTGATCAAATGAGCACAAGAATAGTATATATATATATATATAGGTAACATGGATTCAAGAAAATAATTTGTATGGCGATGCATTTCAGAGGACGGAAAATCGTGCTCAAGTTTAAAAGTGATGGTCACCTAGGAAAAGCCACCATTGTATTCACATTTTATGTATAATAAACCGTCAGTTGATGCGCCCTACAAGACTGGAGTTACGGTAACTTGATGAGAGTCATGCGTGGATGATCGCACCGCAGTGTGAACGAACAAGCATACCTGTCAATGACTGACTGACAGAATACTTATTAGACAAGCGTGGAGTTGGTGGTTTGGTTTTACTCCTGGTCGTATATTTTTGTTCATGCTGTGCACATGTTTAGAGAAGTTCCGAAAAAGTGAAAACTAAACGACATGTCCAAGGGAGTGGCAGTGGTACCAGAAAACTGGCATGCCGTGAACGAAATATCATTGATTATTTAGCTGGATTTATACAGGCACCTACATTCTATGTATACGTATGATGCGCAGTGCCACGGATCGACTTAGCAACTCAGGATGAGTCGTATTGAGATACGTTGCGCGCAATTTATAAATTTGGTGAACCTACGCGATCACAGTTATTTTCACCCATCAGTTGCGCCAGTTACTGAAATAAAAATAGAAATTGAGTGAAACAAGATCGTGCGAACTAACAATCGCAAAGAAGCAACTGATGTTTTGAGTGGCGACTACCATTCGGAAGCATTCAAATCATTTCCTAGAAGTTGCATTGGGCTGGGCATAAAACGAGGCCAAAATAACTGGAGATTATAAACAATTAGTTTTTTTTAGCAATACTTCCAACCTCTAAAACCTCAGGGATCGAAAGGCACCAGCTTAGTGTGCTCACAGATATTGAGTAAGCGGGCCACATTGCTCCCCCTGGTTCGGATACCGTGGAGATGCAAGCTATTTGACATAATCTAAATAAGTTTGCAGCATGGTTTGATATGCGCTCCACACCTGCTAAGTGTGAAGTAATGCTACAAAACTGGGTGTGATCAAACCCAAACCTTGTGTTCGCGAACGACCCACACGACATAGCAGATACACTCAATAACCTCGACTGCTCCAACGTTTGATACCTACAGTAACGGTACAACGTCCGTTTACCTGTCAAGGACAGAATGTAGACAGTGATATTGCGACCCATGCTGCTTTCTGAACCAGCAACACGTCTTCTACGCGCAGAGGATGTGCAAAAACTCTAAGCGTGTGAATATCGTTGTCTCTGAACCACTGGTCGAGTGTAGCAGGCACATCCAAATAGTAATGCTAAGGTACGCCGGATGGCTCTCGGAGGAAAGAAATCTGTTGCGATAGACGAACTACTCAGGCTGGATAGGATTTCTAGTTCGAATGTCGAAGAATGGTCTACCTCGGAGGACTTTATGCTCAGTCCTGCATTCAGTGGAAACGACAGAGACGCGGACAGTCTACGATCTGGTAACGAAGTACAAAAGCGATAAACGGTGGACTTAGTCCGGTGGAAAACTACTACTACCACAACCAACGTACGAACTTACTGTTAATATTCTTCGTTAGGCTATGGTCGCATTATTGGATTTTTAGGCGCTCATTCAAATGACAAATGGTTACAGTTTCTCACAAAAGCTACCATTACGGACGTGTCACAACGGTTATTAAGTGATAGCACAAGGATTCTCTCCTTTGGAAAATTAAGCATACTAGTTGCTTCACTTCCTGAGCAAACTATTATTATGGGCACATACCACCGGGTCACATCAACTCTGACAACTGAATCCGTTCCATTCCACTTTTTACACCAAATGTTGCATTGAACTTCGAAACGAACTGTGCACGCCTATTAATCCGGTTCTTTCCGGTGACCTTGAAGATACTGACGAATTTGAAACGAAACAAAGGCGGCATACGTTGCCCAGGGAGATACAGAAGCCTTGCGTGCTTAGTCGCTCCTAGTCCGAAAGTTGGAATGCTGGCAATTCACTCAGTGAACGAACATGAATGAATAAACTGCAGGAGTAAATAGTTCCGCTCTCATGTAATGTTAATGTATCATTATGTAACACATGCTGTTCGGATCGCAAAACCAGTTCGCACCATCATTTCTTGTCATCCATGACAAGAAACCTAGGTCTCCGAATCTGGTGGCCTCTAATTCCAAACCACAGTACCCCCTACCCGGTAAGAACTACTCTTGGGGGACGCAAACGGTGGGAATGATCTCCACATAAAGAACGTAGGGTTTAGAACGAACTGCGCATTTATCTCGCTCTTAATTTTTGTTCTTGCGCCATATTGGCTCCGTAACTTATTTTACTACGGATGAAAAATTGCGACGTCATTTCCAAGAACTTGTCACACTTGCTTTTGCTCCTTGCTACGAGACTGCGAATGCCAACTACTCATGGATTACATTTTGTGGAGCTGTTAAACCAAGCCTGTTGGTAACTCATTTCTATCAGCCGCTTTAGATGAAAAACTGAGGAAGTGGCTAACCTCTTGTTAGCACAAACGCAGTCACAGCTCTCATACCCATACCAAGACTGGTTCCGATAGCATCGTTCGCCTTCATAGAGTTTAGAACTTGCGTTCCGGCGGCCTAACTGATGAGCTGCTAAAGGGAAGAAACCGGTAGTGAACCATCCGAGACTTTCCACCAATCTTATGAATAATGTAGAACACTTCGGTTTCTTTAACATCCTTCAGGCTGAAACATGAGACAGCTCTTATGCAGCACATTCGGTTGAAGAATACATTCAATTATGGATTATCCTGATACCACTTGCATTTGTAAACGGGTATACATCTCCACGATAACGGGTTTTCCCTACTTTGAGCTTCCGACCGCGAAAACACATCCCAACCCGAACACATGATTGCAGTTTGTAATCCTGGTTGCTTACACCTCCACAGAAACGGACAGTTTCCAAACAGATCCCGCCGGCCGTCATACCAAGTTCCATTTCATCATTTTCAACCGACGTGTCTGGCCTCAAAGGTGGCGCCATCCCAACGCACAAAGTCTTTCTGACCTCAAGCCCATCTTATTATGTTGGTAACTTCACCATTTTCCTTAGTTTTCCGACCCACTGCCTCATCAGCTTGTCCCATTCGTTTGCCCTCAAAAACTCACCCCGTTTTCTCGTTCTATATTCTGATGGCTAGGACAGTATGCGTCCATTTTAGTTGTTCTCGCTTGGAACGCTGCCTTTCCAAAGATCCCCTAGTTTTACTGACAAAAATCACGTGGTCATTCTAATAACACACAATTTAGCCCCCATTATTTTACATACAATCATACAGTTTCGCTCAACGACCATACGGGAAATGGGAGTAGGTAGCTACGCATTAAAGGCAGCATCTGACCGTTGGCCGTTGCCATATAGATTACCGGTGCCCACACACCCTCCTTGAAAAGATTGGATACTATGTATTAGGAATCGCTGTCTCTGCGATTCTGAGAAGATGGGTACTTCCAGGTTTAGATCCGCTTCCGATGATTAAGTGAGGTTTAAAGCCCATCCAACTGAAGCAATTGTGCAAGGTAATGAAACAGCCCTTCAAAGTGACTGATCCATATTCCGAGAGGTCGTTTCTTAGCCTTCCAGTTCGCTGATTGTTTAGTTGGTAATCGTCTTCCTCTGGACCCTCAACTGAGTTAGGTGACATGGGACACCACTACTCCCAACTGCACACTTCCTCTTCCACAAAACTAACTGGGTACCTGAGTATGATAAACTGTACTAACTGGCATTTCCTCTACATGCTATGAAATTTCATGAATTTTCCCACTCCCAAACAGGACTATCGTTTTGGCCTCAACAACTGCCGAACAATCGTCACTATCCCACCTCGTCAGAGGTCCGTGAAGCGAATTAGTTCGAGCAAATCTTTCCCGACGAAAATGGGACACACTTTGGGCGACAAGTCGGCCTCAGCAACTCACTTCGCCGTTAAATCCTGTTTTCGGGATTCACTGTCATTTCGCACCGTTCTTAGTCCACATTCCTACGTCTAACACATCCTGGCAATACACCCTAGTTATCAAGAAGACCCGCATTTTCCACAACGAATCTCACGGAGTAAGAATCGAGCAGGAAATCGTGAATAAACTCGCGTAATGCGGAGTCTTCGTGAAGATCAAAGAAATTATTATGCTTACCTGCTTTCTCAGGTATCCTTGGGCTGTCGTGCACGCTACCAACCAAGCGAAGTAAAATTAAACTTGTTTGGCTTTGACGAGGGCCTCATTTGATGGCCAAGTTGTTCGCTAAACTGTGTCATTCTGTTGCAAGCCTCACTAGTCGAGGTGACAACTGGGCAATCAATCATGAGTGAAGGTTATTCCTCACAAAAGCACGTAAATAAACTCGCGTACAGCATTACGCAACGACAGCTCCACTCCGTTCCACGACAACGCACTGAAGATACTATCTAAATTAGGACGAAACGTTTGCAATAAAACTGCCAAGCTCAGCGAACATCTCGACCTGAGCTACCAACATTCTCCTCTACTCAATGGAGTCTCCTGTTAACACCAACTTAATCTGCTAATGAGTGCATTCCATCACTTACGTACAATACGGTATTCCAGTGAGAAATTATGCTGATGGAAACACGGGGACTATATTTGCCTGATAAGAGATAAAGCCGGCAGTGGGCTGTCGAAGGGTTTGAGTCGCATTTACATGTAGTGTCAATGAATGTTAACCACATCGACTAACGTTTGTTATCCATTAGGCAGAAATGAACCAACGAGACCTTGCTGCCTAGACACATAACAACTGCGCCTACCTGATGAGCCCGAAGAAGGGAGAAACCGGTCGTGGGCTGTCGAAGAGTTTTCAGCAACCGTGTGAGTAGTTTCCTTTATGAAAATATACTGCGATATCTCGAATATCGTGCCAACTGAAACATGGGGCGGCCTGTGTACGGCACATTCAGTTGTAAAATATCCTAAACGAGAGATTCATTTGTCTTTCGTGAAACCCAAATTGATTTGCAAAGGAGTGTATTTCTCGAAAACGTTCTGTTTTCCTGCTTCGTAAAATTAGCTCAATAGACTCCAATTACTTTCTCGCTTGAAATGCACAACAGAATTTGTGGTTGTTTCAAAGTGATTCTACGATAAAGTCAGAAAAAATAGCGACATATTGAGCTGAATATCCAACCATTACGAGTACCGAGATTCCCCACTCAAGAGACTTATTAGATTTCCTATAAATCAATAGGAAAGGGCTCGCTTCATTCCGAGGGTATCTGTTTACTAATGCAAAACTATAGGCTCGCTATTAGAGTGCACAGCACTGTTCACTGCTCCTTACATGCTTCACCGGATGCACAAATAAGCTCGCCCATGATCGTTCAGCTATCCGATTGGCTCTCTAGCAGAGTCGCTCATTGTTCCGAACTGCAACGGAACCAAACTCGAGCCAAGTGCTCCTCCTATTCTGCGCTAACCAGAACAGAAACAAAGAGGTCCGGATGAAGGGTTTGCACGCCGATGTTTCTCTACCAGTGAACTAATTGAAGAACCAGAAAATTCAACTCGGGATTTTTATAGGAAATTTGGTGGTTCATAACGTGCACGTCAGTTGTTGCGAGAATTCAGTCTTTACAACTCGTGGGACTGACTAATTTTCAAAACCAATAACTGAGCGGGTAAGCACGGTATTATTGACCACACAAGAATGCCATTTTACTTCCAAATTTAAATACTCGCCCTTATACAATTCCGTGAAGAGCGATAAGCATGCAAATGGCAGGAATCTTACAATTACAGATGAATGCGGATAACAGCCCCTTAGCTCAGAGCACTTTGTTTGACGAACAGGGCTATTGGAAGCTAACCTAAACTTCTCACATCAGAGTAACTACATCAGAAGTTACCACAACAAAGAGTAATAAAACCAACAATCGAACAGCGCAAGAAACGAGAAATATATTGTTTTTATCCTACGCCATCATACGGCTCTTGGCTGTTTGATGTGGTTGCGAAAACGTTAACACATACCATAAGGTATTTCCAATCCCCATAAAAAACTTACTTGGGACTGAGCCTTTTGGCTGAGACGGCGCAGTTCGGCACCCATAAGACTTCCGATGAGGAACACACAAGGTAGGGAACTGAGCAGCGTGCCAGTAAGCACTGGTGATATGCTCAACAAAGAGATAAAACATCCCAAAATCTGAAAAGCGACGAAAAGTATTGGAAAGTTGACAATGTACGGAGGATGGAGCAATACAGGTAGTCATGGAAGAGGAAGGTTAGGATAACAAGTTGAAAAATATGACACCTGACTGAACACCGAAAGCCATTCCATATTGCTTTCTAAGGGACGAGTTCATATAAGAAGGAAATCTTGAATACGGACCCAATCACACACACTGCAAGCGATCTGAAGACCACCCGTTTTCAGGGACAGGTCACCGGTGGCTCCAGAGTATGGAATCAGCCGTAACATATTCATAGTGAAACTATCCCTATGCGGCACAACAAAGCTTGTGATATTAAGATGGTTGAATATAGGTGTATACGTATACAAGTCCAAAGGTCTTGTTTGGGATTCCAAACCATTGTCGGTGAAAGGTTCGCGGATGACGGGCCATGGTATGGCAACGCGAAATAAAGGCCTTCTTGGGTTGCACTGCTCTGCTTATTCTTATGCGTGATTGGAAAGCCTACAGGAAATGACACGCAATCGATTCCAGTGGCAAGCTTGCTGTCACATCCTAGCCGAACTGCCTAAGGCTTCGTTGTCGCTGTGTGTTGGAATTGTTAGGTGAGATTCCCATTGATTATAACTTGCTCTAAAACGGTGACCAGACATTTATATCGACAGTTTCGGAAGGCGTAGGTATGTTACCATCAGCCATTTTCCAGGGGTATTCTCAATAATTCCCCATTCCAAGCCACAGGGCGCGGAAACTGGGCGGTTTGTTAACATCCACTTTCGCTGAATTGTTTGTTGAAGAAATGGTCCCCTCAGCTGTTCAGTCTTTACGCTGTCGTGCAAAGCCTACCTGGCTCACAGCGGTGTGCTGAATAGAGGTTTCCAAAGTTTGTTGTTCACGGAAACCGACCGTTTGTTTGAAAGATCCAGGCTGTTACAGTACGACATGGCGGTTATGGTATCCCTAGGGTATCCGGACATCTAAATGCTGCTGTACTGATGCACATTGGAGGGCACTTTCGCCCGACAATCAGGTGGAGCTTAACCTAGGTTCGTAACCGCTAAAATGTGTGATCTGTGCATATCCACAGTCCGTAGTCTTATAAACTCTACGAACTTTAGTTGATGAAACAACCGAAATATAATCTATTTGGGAGACTGTCACTCTCGTCTCAGTAAGACGTCGTTAGGTGTTTCCTGGTCCCAGTTACGAGCATTGATGACAAAGAACTGATTGGAGGTGAAGTTTGTCACCATCGCAACGCTGGATTAAATCAAACAGGACGAATGGATGGTGCATCCCGTTTACCAAATCAAACGCTCTAGTTACTCGCCAAGTTCAAGATGTCTCGTCTCAAGGTCATTTTGTAATTGTTCATAGAACTCACAGTCAAGTTCACGGATAATCATCTGAAAACAGTTATTTGGATATGTGAGTTGTTAGCACTTCTGGTTAAAGCAATTGCAACACCGTGGTGACCTGAATTACCCATTGGTTCGTTGCAATAGAGCCTGTAAGAAGCACCTAATCGAGAAACTTAGATTCGTCGGTCAACTGAAAACATTCCATTAGGGTGCAAAGGATGGCACCATTCAGTGCCCAAAAACACCGACTCCCAATCAAACAGAAGCATTAAAACAACAGCATTCTTAAAAAAATTGTTTTATCAGAAGGCCTTCTCCTGAGATGTACGTAACATTCCACATAAAGCATAACTCAGTGCGCGGTCATTCCGACAAGAGGCCGATCCCCGTAAGGGCGGGTGGTGGTATGTCTTGCGGAACTAGCGCACACGTAAAAGCTGTTGCTGCGTAGACAGGTAACGACCGATAAATGAAAATAATTAACTAATGGCTGGTGACACGTGACTTAGCAAAAGTGTGGATCATGAAGGGAGCATCCAAAGCGCTGAAGCGTTGAACATAACTTGAGGAACGCCAAAAAGCAGTAAATTCTATTCCATAATTCTGGATTGCAACCACACATTGATTTCTGTAACCCGAACTATCTGTACGTCCTCAATCGCCCCTTTTTGTCAACTAATCACAAACTCACTAACTAGTTTTCATTTTAGCAGTTGACAGTGTGGTCGTAAATGATGAACATTTGTCCCGGATCGGGACGAGCCCAGAGAATGATACGAGCCAAACTGAATTTCGTACCTACCTCGCTACTACCTTAAAATAAGGTCATATCAACGCTACAAGTAACTACAGGCAACCGAGTTAAGAACTACACAGTAACTTATGCTTCCTTTATACTTCCGATTCCTGAACATACCCGTCACTCTGCGGACGCTGATGGTTCAGCTTTTCAGCTCACAAACCGTGCACCGAAATGCAGCGATTCCAACTGCTACAACTTTGCTCTCCAAGGACAAGGAGAATAAGGGAATGAGAGCCACACTTTGGAGGCGATGGCCCTGTGTGGGTTTTGACGACAAACGTATCGTTGTTCAGTATGATAGGAAGTGAAAGCTACGCAGTCAAAGTGATAGATTTGATGCAAAACCACCATTGGCTTCGTGACACAGCTACCTCTGTCAGGGTCATTAACCATTGGTTTGTTTCGTCCTGCGAACCCCAGCCCGAGAGACGACAGTTACCAACGTGACTGGGTTGACTAGTGGGAGCATTCATGCTTCTCTGCCAAGCCATGGACTAACCGTCTCTCGGTTGTAACTTGGTGTAAACAAAGGGAGACACTTAACTACGCGAGGCAAAATGGCAGGGTAAAGGTAAATAATAAAAACACTGTTCCCACCTGTGTTGTACTACGTAACCCAATCGAGATACATTGCTTGAATGCGCTTTTAAAAGTCTGGACGTCTGCGGTTAGGCTGAAGATCAGAAACAGAACAAGAAAGATGGCGTGAACATGAAGAGTGCTAGGCTGACAGTTCAACAAATAATTCATACCACAAGAGAACAGAAACCTGAAACCACCAACAGAGAACGGTAAAACAACCTTTAAGCCGTGGCACCTCTTCGTTGTATGACTGTCATGGAACATGAAGGAAGCATGAGGGCTGAAATACTGTTAGGTGACCCGAACAGAGGACCAGGGTTGGGATCAGACGAAGGATAGCCTCACGCTTTTCGCCCAGCGATCACGAGCACAGAATGATAAGATGTTCAGTATCGTTAACCTCGTGAAGCACTCGCATGTACCACTCTTTTTCAGAAGCAGGACGGAGCTGTGACAAGGTGATCAGACCAGACAAGTGCGTAATCATCAATATGATTTTAAATGTAAACATTCGTAGGTTGGGAGTAATACCTGTGGTTGCTATACTTATATTAACGCACACATAGCACGGTAATCCTGACTTGGTGATTGTTTGCCTAGATGGCAGTGACGGAAACTGCTGCAGGTTTATTCCGATTGCGCAGTCTTCTGATACCATATGGACTCCATGTTTTTACCGAATGCTAACTGTCAATTGAACATAGTGGCTGAGCGACTGGAAAATACGGTACGTGTAATCACACCATAAATAACAGAATTTGAGCGGATCTGTTCGTATCGAAAACCAAACATTTGTGACAATTATCCTGGAGGATAAAGCGACAGGATGGTTCGTAAGGCCTTAGGTTCAAATAATTCAGTAAAGCCAATACGAGACGAGCAAATCCAATTTCTAAATTGGTGTCCATCCAAGGACGAAGTGAAACCATTCTACGCTGCATAAGCATTGACTTATTTGAGTACGTTCCTCCTATTAATTACAGAACTGATTGCTCAGCTGTAGCACCCTTTCGGTGCTTAACTGCCATGCCACCAGAAGGAAGCATGAGGGCTGGGATACTGCCAGGTTGCCCAAGCCTAGACAGATGAAGTCGAGAGGCAGAGGTATCAGCTCCAGAACTGATACCAACAGCTGGGTCAGATGCTCGTAGGCCATATAGATTGCATTACCAACACTGTGAAACACGACCTACCTCTTCAGTTTGCTCTACTAAACCAGACTGGAACTAACGCATACGGATTTGCCAGTAGATATAGCCACATTGTTTTCAGTGCGCTTTTAGATGGTTTTTGTGGAATATAACTTTCAACAGCTTAAAATAAGGCGGGAGCTCCATCATTGCGATCCTGCAGATCCTGTCGAGATGGTTCACAATCAAGCAGTAACAGTCCGACTCATACTCAACTGGCTTTACGGAATGTATATGCATCAATGGAGAGCTTTTCGGATGGTTGAAAACAATTATGATATTGTTCGTCAACAGGAATGGTATTCTTATCCGATCAAACCATAAGCTGCAGTGTGTTATGGAGTGATTTACCCGGCCTCTGCGGTCTGCTCCGGGTTCGCCGATTAGCTGCTAACTTATCTCTGTTCCATCATAAAAACGACGGCTTAGAAGTGATCGGATTACAATTGCAGACTAAGGCAAAAACCTTCCGCGATTGGCCCCAAAAATCCGGAGAAATATTTAGGGACTGAGTGTTTTTCATCGTCCGGTTGGAAAACGCAATAAATACGATTACCTGTCTATGAGCTTCCCGGAATTGTGGGTATCAAAGTACGCGACCTCATTATGTATGATGGTTTTGAGCAAATCATTTCGTAACTTGAACGCGATCCGTTCTCCGATTGAAGCTAGCAAACTGATGTATGAAAACGTGGCCACTGACTAGGGAGAAAAAATGCATCAGAAAGAAAATGGGAAATGTACGATTATCGAGTGTGTGTACAGTTCTGTAGTACGATTAATAGCTATCCATTTGGAAAAACTGTCAACTGGTTATAGCATCAGTTCCCAAAAACACTCAGGCAGAGGCTAACACCACAAGAATTTTATATTCAGAAATCCCGGTGAAGACGATTTCTGGTCGGAATTTCAAACGATATGTTAAAAATGATCGGCCTAGTACCCTACCAGCGTCTCGCCTGTAAGAGACATGGTGACCCAAGATGGATTAGTGGTTCGAGCGCGAAGTTACTCACCGAAAAGTCCGGGGTTCGAATCGACTCTGTCTAGGCCCAAGATGGATTAGTGGTTCGAGCGCGAAGTTACTCACCGAAAAGTCCGGGGTTCGAATCGACTTCTGTCTAGGCTTGAGCAACCTGGCAGTATCCCAGCCCTCGTGCTTCCTTCGGGTGGCACGGCAGCTAAGCACTGGAAGAAGGCTACAGCTGAACAGTTTTCAGTGACCCAACTTATTCTTATGTGATTCCACGCGTCAATATAGACCGCTTCGCACGGAATTGCCGACCGCGAATGCCAAGCTACTAGAGGGGACCCAAAATGGAGTCCATTAGGAGGCCAGCTTTCTGTTGCTATAGACCCATTGTATTTAGAGCTCTCGTAACATCATGTCAAAAATGATCGAGGTTAAACGTTTTTGGTCATACTAAGGAACTACGTTTATCCTATTAGATTCAGTCCCCGTCTAAGTACAGCTATATTTGAAGAGCGCTTGGCTAAGATTTTTCAGAAGCGTCACGTCCAACAGCGGATTTCAACGGACTTCTGCAAAGAATCCAATGGTGAACGAAAATACTTCGGTAAAAGCAAAATAAAGCCTGGGGTACGAGGCAAAACCTTTGTTCATTGTCATGTCATATCGAGGCAGCCAATACTCGTCAAAGTCATCCCTTTGAACTGTCCCGTAATGAGTTAGGTAAATTTTTCGAACAAGGTCGTTGCTCTTGTTGAGATTAAACAGTACTGCCTCAGTGTCCATCCGGTACTCACCTGTCATGCAACCCATAAAGTTCAGTTACTTACAGATTCCCCAAGCTGAAATAAGGTTAAGCGTTAAGTCAGACAGATAACAAGACCGATCAGCCATGAGCTTGTGAAAAATCTGCGAACTCTACTCATTTTCAAACTGATGTAGTCGTAATGAGATATTTAACTGGACCTCAGTTGAATCTCTTGTAAACGATATTCCTCAGCTGAATGTGCTGCATAAACACCGCCTCAATTTTCAGTTGAAATCATACTCATTCATTCTTGAGGGAACACTATTCACAAGAATCCTGCAAGCCGTTCACTGGCCTGGATCGGTTTTGCCCGTATTGGGTTCAACCTAAGGGCACATACACTGTTTCTGTTAACCTTTTTATTGGTCAACCCAGATTGTACGAAGTTCGCGGACTACAGTCGTTTGCCCACCGATTTGATTTCCCCATCGAAATTGAATTGATATATGAGTGTAGTTTGAAGTATTCAAGCTGTTTTCGATCCATTTTCATAAGTGAAATGGCGTCCAAATAGATTTGGTACAATGGAAGTTGCGTATGTACCTTTAATACTTCAGTTTCCACCAAAAGACACCAGTCAATATGGGTAGTACAAAGGATTACCCATGGCGACGCCATGAACTTTCTTATGACTGGTGCTTTGAAGACATTTCATTTTCCTGGTGCACAATAAAATGAGGTTCTTCATAAAGGGAATGAGTAGACCAACTATAATGGAGTGTCTTTGGGTACTCACATAAAGCGTTTGGTTTCTGTATGCGTGGCATGGATAAAAAACAGCCATACATCGGATGAATAGATGTGCTCAAGGTAGGGTAAAAGTTCGTGAGTACTTTCCAAACAATGTCTCGCAACAGAGACATTTTGATAACAGGTGTTAAAACGAAATGTTCGTCTAGTATAGAACGAATGGAACAAGACAAGCGAAAAAGCAGCAAAACCTCACCTGGACTACATACGCTAAGAACAGTTTCAGAGTAGGCAAAACACCCGAGGGAATCCCATCTCGATTAGACCACAAGGCAATCGCCTCAACAAATTCCCCAAGATATATCGGTATTAGAATATTCATTGCCGCCGCGGACAGAGCGCCCTAAAAGTGGTATGTTACCGAACAAAACTGAAAGTACCAAGACAGCACACGCTAGTGAGAAAAACTCGGGCCATATTAGGACAAACAAATCGCCCCTTGACCATGTGTAGGGGTCGCGTGAGGATTTGACGAGGCTGACTTCATCGCTGCTCGATTGGAAGGTATCACAAGATACAGGTAGAATAATGCGATGGAGTGGGTAACACTTGAGTAAGGCAAGACCAGACCAAATCCCAAAGTTAAGGTGCTTGATTCTTTTCACAACGCCAGAAAACTGACCAACATGCAAAGATCCACGAAATAAGACGGAACTTTTCTGCAGGGCGACACGAACACCAGTGGGAATCCGAGCCATACATACCGAAATCATCCCAGTGGCTCCTCAGAAACTTCAAAAAAGCTGAAGAACGAACAGCATTAATGTGGTGAAAAACGGTGGCAGATACCCATCTCAAAAGTAGCATGGAAAGCCAGGGCATTGATGCACAAAGGTGCCCGAACGCACTGTTGCATAGAAGCGGTTTCTAAAAACTCATTATCATCATCATCATCGACAGTATGACATCAGTGTTAAACACCGATGCTTCACTGCCGGACAAATTTGCTAGCCATTAGCATGGACACAATATGTCTTCGAAGTAAAACTAAAATAAACTAGCTAACTCAGTGAAGATTTTCAAGAATGTTCCCGATGTTTCAAAGTGTCATACAATATGGTGGTTCCGATCAAATAAAACGCCCTAGTAGGACGCGCAATTAGCGTTTGTCTAACAGGACCACAGATTGACCGTTACAAACTTTGCAAAGACTCTAACACGTTTCTTGATGTAGGCATGACCTTTGGGAGGTGGTGGAATTTTGCCGACTACCGTAAGCTCACATACAAGAGAAGCAAAGAACTAATGCTTGGTGCGATACCACTTATACAGTTGATGGAAGTTCTTTGTATGGACACTGAAGCACAAGGCGGTCCTTGTGCAGCAAACTCGGTGGAAGAAAAATGTAATGAAATTAAAATGAACTTCGTTGGAGTCTGACTTTAACCCTACCTTGATCTGCAAATGAGTGTCGTATAAGATATGTCGTATAAGAATGTCGTATAAGATGGCATATGGGACCCTCTTTGAGAAACACCGAACGTCTGCATCCGTTTCGTGAGTTTTCCTGACGTTGGCAACACGAGACCTCCAAATAAGGTGAACACTAACGTCATCAACATCACTGATAGTAACGTCAGATGAGAACGCTGGTGATTCACAAGCAACGGTCACATCGTCACCGTGAAACTGAAGTAACGAGTTCTCTTCAGTCTTGAGGCGCGGTGCTGAAGATTCTACCTGGTGTAAGTTGGTGCATAACGACAGCCGTCTTGTGGCGGATGTACAGATGTACGAAGCGACTGGACCTTATCGTGGTATGGCGGTTTGTGTACCTCGGCGACCCATTGAGCTATACTGGGGGGTGTCCGCGCGACACTCACAGAGTCTCTCATACCAGGTTGGTCAATGGTTAGAGGTC